TGCTTCCTTACTTGCCAAAATAGTATCAATTTCTTCAAGTCCTTCTTTGTGCCTTCCTTAGTAAAGTAATATAGTATAAAAATAAATTTACCTTTCTCATTATTTATTTCAAATTTAAAATTCATTTCCTAACCTAACTTCTTTTTCCTTCATAGTATGAAGTTCATACGTCAACAACCATAGAAAACGTCAACAACCAAGGCCATACAGCCATTCCAGAGAATTTGAAACTAAGGCGCACAATTTAAAATTGTTTATATGCAATACCTTTAATGTGAAATATTGTGCACGTAGTCTAAATTTTACATATCTAATATAAAAATAATATATTTTCCATTATAAGGCCCTTAAAACAATATTTTACTTAATGCGAACGCATCCTAAAAAAATGAATCAAAAGATAAGTTATTTAGCAGGCTATTGTTCAGTGATTATATCATTTATTATACAACTGTCATTATTTTAATTCATTAAAATATTAATTATCAGAGTGTTTGGTGACGATTTTGTAAATCAAAATGGGTAAGTAGTATTTTTTTATTAACTTTATTTATTTTATGTTGTTAGTGTAGCGTCCGTCATCAAAAAGATGTAATACTTATTATTTCTTAATGAAGATAAATAATTTTTGACTAAATTATTTATTTTTAAAAACACACATGTTGCCTCTTGTCAGTATATTAAGCTTTTTTAGATATGTCAAGAATCTATTTTTTTTTTAATTAAACTTTTATGTAGCGTCCGTAAGCAAAAAATATTTAAGTAATATTTTTTTAGATTTTTCATTTATCTTGTTTTACGGTTAAATTAGACTAAATTAAAAATACACAAATGCTCATTCTAACCTTGTTTAAAGATTTTTCGAGAGATTTTTATACCGGTGGAATATTTTTTACAGATCAAAAGGAGAAGCGCATTAAACAAAACAGAATTGCCGCGCAACGTTATCGAGAAAAAATTAAAAATGACGAAATTACAAGAATTGCACTTTTAAAAAAAGATGCCGAAAGAGTAAAGAAAAAAGAAAAGTTGCAGTTTGATAGTCATTTACGAAAAATTGAGAAATTAAAAGTTACTGAAAGAATGAGGCGTTACAGATCAAAGATTTAACAAATGAGACAAAATATTGAGCAGTCTTATAGTCTTTACAGATGTCCTCAAACGTTGGGTAAAGCTTTAAAAAAAGTTAAAAATACGTACAAGAAAAATTGTAGTGCAGAAGTTAGTTTTACAAACTATCCCCGAAAAGTTGTGTGACGAGAAGCCCACAATAATTCATGGACTTACTACATCTACTGAAGATGTTAGACTTGTCAATATTTTTTACCTACGTGATGATGTTAGCAGACAGGCCCCAAGAAAGAGAGACACAAAAAGTGTCAAAAATCCAATTACTGGTAAGAAAGAATCGTTACAAAAAAGACATCTTATAATGACGATTAAGGAGGCATTAAACTATTTAAGCAAGAATTCCCAGATACAAATATTCAGATTACTAAATTTTACCAGTTGCGCCCCAAGCACGTTCTGTTATCATCACAAATGCCGTATAACGTGTGTGTATGTCGCTATCACGCGATTTTTAATTTTTTAATTGAGGCAATACAAAATAATATTTTGAAGTTTCCGAAAAGCAGTACTGATTTCCTGAAACAAATGTGTTGCAATATAGATGAAGAACAGTGTATGACAAAAACTGCGATTATGACATTTCACATGCTTTGATTTCAGTTAAATATATGTTTGATTTTGATAATAATAATAATAATAATAATGTTTATTAACGCTAAATAGCAGTTATACATTGGTTTACAATAAATAAATCAAATTAATTCTAGTAACAAAAACAATATAATGTAATATGTTATATCAGGTACAAAAATCCAATAGTAATAAAGCCTCGTCTGTCTCACCACACATGCCAGCAATCAAAGACCATCGAGGGAATTAAGCTGGGTTTTAAAGGATGCCAAAGAGCAATTAAAAAAGTTTACTGAGGAGAGACTGTTGCATATTCTGGAAACCCGACTCAATGGAGAATTACTGGCATATACTGTGCGACAGTTGTACTTGTTAAGTACAAGCAGTGGAAAGATAATGAGGTCCAATTTACAGAAGCTACGCTTTTTTCAGTGATCAAAACGCTAGAGAGACAATTTAAAGTGTTGAAAACACACTGTTTCGTTAAAAGGGTGCAAAAACGGTATTTTGATGAACAAAAGGTTCATCTTGTCGAAGATAAAGTTCTTGTAGTGCAAATTGACTTTGCTGAGAACTACTCGATAGTGTCTCAAAATGAAATTCAATCGGCACACTGGTCTCACAAACAAGTAACAATATTTACTTGTGTTATCTGGACACCACAGCAGACCTTTTCTATTGCCATTATAAGCGACTACATGGGACATGACAAGTACGCAGTTTATGTATTTCTTCAAGAAATTTTTAAGAAAATTCATTTGAACTATCCCCATCTATTACAACATTTATGCAAAACAGTGATCTTTTCAGACGGCTGCGCTGCCCAATTTAAAAATAAATATACTCTTTCAAATTTGTGTTACTATGATGTACTTAGAGTTCAACCTGCCTAGTGTTGAATGGAACTTTTTTGCCAGTAGTCACGGAAAGGGTGTTGTAGATGCACTGGGAGGCGTGGTAAAAAGGACGGTTTAGCGATGTAAGAAGTAAAAATATTGAGCTGTCAAATGCCCATGACTTCTTTGAATGTGCCAAAGGGCAATTATCTTCTATCAACTTAATATATGTTTGTGCTGAGGATGTTGAAAATATAAAAGAGATGCTGGATAAAAGATGGGCTAATGTTAAGAAGATTCCTTTTATCCAATCAAAACACTTTTTTATGAAATTAAGCTCCAATTCGTTGCAAACCGTTCAAACAAGAAATTCCAGTATCGTGTGTTGTATTTAAGTAGTGGCATATTTTACTGTTAAATGTAGAGTTTATTTGTTTAGTGAAGTTTTTGGTTGTTTATTTGAATTAAATTGAAAAATAAAAGATTAGCATTTTGGTGGAACTTTTGTAGCGTCCGTCATGTAGCGTCCATCATCACATATTTAATGTACTTATATATTATCTATTAAACTAAATACAAAATAAAAATAAAAAAATATTTATCTAGTCCAATGCTTTATATATTATAATAAAGTTTAAATTTAATCCCTTATCAATTTGCTAATATTCAGGTGAAACATAAAATAAATTTATTCCACTTCCATTTTTTGTAGCGTCCGTCATCTAAGTTTAAGAAGTAAAATCTTGGAATCCCTAAATGTCAGATAATTATTTTATATGTTATTTTTTTTAACCTCATTTCCACTTTCAATTTTTAATATTAGCTTTAAAATCAGTTTTAGTTTTTGGGCATTTTTTCTTAAATATTTGACAAGATTTTGGTCAAATGGTAGCGTCCGTCATCATGAAATGGCTGCATATTTAAAACATTTTATTGCGTTTTATTCTACAGGACCGGCTTTAAATTTTATTTAACAAAATTTCCATTTTATAAAAAAGATCAAAGGTGAGAAAATTGTTAAAAAATAATGAAATTTTATGATTTCTATGACAAAATGTGAATTTTATGACATTTTAAGGCAATTTAACCAATTTTATGATATTTAAAATTTTTATGACAAACGGGAACCCTGATCATTAAACAACGATGAAAATGGAAAAAAACATAGAATTGACTAGAACTTCCATTTTGACATCGAATAACTTTTGAACCAGTTAAGTTAGCAAATAATCACAAGAGACCTTTTTTGTATAGCGTTAAATTTGTTACAAGAATATTGATGTGTCGATATAATCCGTTTATTAGTTCATGACCTAAAAAAATCCACAGTAATAACAGAACTTTTCCCATGTTATTCCCATTTAAAACTTTGGCTGTCGTGGGGGCCGGCTTAATTTTAAAATTAAGAGCTGCAATTTGGCACATTTTTTTTATATATTTGGAACCTATTTAGGACTATCGTGAAGAAAAATTCGAACACACCCTAAATAAGGACCAGCCTAATATAGCTATAAAGGGCTAAAATAATTTCAAATAAATTAAAAACATGAACACTCATAATCTAAGACCTGATTACGTGTAGTATATTGCATGCAGTTAATTTTAACTGCTTACTATCTTTTAGTAAATTTACAAGCTTAGTGTAAAATTTTACAATCAGCATGTAATTATACAGGTCGACTGTAATTTTCTTTTACAGATAAGTAGTAAAGTTACCGTACGTAAGTAATTTTACTAGCCTACTGTAAAAACAGTTTACAATAATGACTCTCACAAAACAAAAAGAAAAATTTCAAGCCCCTGTATATCTGCAACCTGTCAGTCTTTTACGCTGCCCTTTTGCTTAATTAAAATAGTCCGATAAGACAATGATTTAGCAAACTTTCATCAAAATCGGAAACAACTTAAGTTTTTAGTGGGAACACTTGACGTGTTTTGCCCCATATACATGTATATTATTCTTCTAATGTAATATTTTTTAAGCGAAATAATTAAATTGTGGAAAAAGGTTTACAACAAAAAATCATTGAGTTTGAACAACATATTGCAGAGTAATTTTTTTTTAAATGTTATAAAATTCTGATCCTTGGTAAATTCAGGGTCCCCTTCAGGAAGCTTTACAAAAAATAAAAACTTGTTGCGTTGTTTAACGATACTGCCGTGTATAATCATTATATATCAAATATATCAAACTATACCATAATGGAAAACATTTTATTATCAAAACATCTTATGACCATAAAAATGCCAAATCTTATTTAAATATGACAAAAAAACTGATTTTCCTAAAATATTTTTCAATATGGTAAAAAAAAACATAGGTACTGAAATCTTCCAACTTTGTAGTATTAAAGAACAAAATTAAAAAAAAAAAAACAGTATTTAAATCGTCAATTAACTTGGATCAAAGATTAAAGAGCAAATTATTATCTCCCTTAACCTTTAAATAGGTAAAAATCTTACCTTCAGAATTTACACCATAATCATTTAATTTGGTTTTCAATATGGACGGATCCCAGTGCTTAAATGGACAACCATGGTGTTCCCCAGGACCAACATTATTCATAATAATCTTCATGCAACTGTATGGGGAATAGTTTGTCATGTTACCAACTTTACCAAATTGATGTTTAAAATTGTACAAGTAACTTTTATCAAACTTGTCTTGATCCATAGCTTTGGTGAACTCTTGACGCCAGAATTCCATAGCGTTCTCGTATATGAGACCAATTCCTTTAAAAACACCCATTGGGTCACATACAAAATATAGTTTAGAGTGCATACCTTTAAGAAATAGTCCGTACTGAAGCCGGGAAAAGTGTTTCACGTGATGAGCGGTTCTTAAAACATCGTGTATGGTCCTCATACACATTGGAAAATGTTTTTTGGAGTAATTGTCGATTTCTGCTGGATTTATAGCTTCCGTATCTGTTTGCACGGTGTAATTTTGACCTGTGTAAGTGTTGTGTATGTTTGAAAGTAAGGAGTTAATGCGGTCGTCGTCTAGGTTTGGGATTCTGTGACAAATAACCTGAAATTTTAATTAAAAACATAAAATTAAGAATTTTTACATGACTAAGTAGTGGGTAGACAAAGCACAACTTGCTCCATCTACCCAGTTTTTAGTACCTATGGTTTATGGTAATTTGAGGCGAAAAATTGTGTAAAAGCAAATAAATAAAAATGATATAGCTATAAATTATATACAGGGTGTCACAGAATTCGCGCCACAGAGAAAAAGGGAACGTACCTAGAAGTTATTTATTTATTTATATCCAACAGGCACAGGGCCCAATTATGCGAAACATATACTTGAAAATTAAAATTATCTACCTCAAAATCCCAATACATAGTCATAGGGAATTTTTTTAATTGCTAGGATACTGCATTGTTGATATTATAATATGTAAAATGTTTTTTCCACGACCACTATGTAAAAGTCACTTTTCATGATGGCATCGTTGCTTAGAAAATGAATCTTTTCATTGACAAGGCAAAACACGAATGTAAAGTGACATTTCTGTGTGAAAAGTGACAGGTCTGTGTGAAAAGAACCGGAAAGCATCGTTTGACATTCAGCTGTCAAAAAAGTTTTTAGGATATTTTGTTTTGTATTTAAAAATAATAAAAAATAAAAGGGTCGCAAAAAAAAACATTGTGTTATACTTGTGAGAAAAGCTTTCTTCAAGCTCGTGTTAATGCACACTCGGCCTAACGGCCTCGTGGGCAACTTAAAAACTCGCATGAAAAAGTCGCTCTTCAACACTTGTAAAACAAATAACTATTTTCTACGACCACTATGTAAAAGTCACTTTTCATGATGGCATCGTTGCTTAGAAAATGAATCTTTTCATTGGCAAGGCAAAACACGAATGTAAAGTGACATTTCTGTATGAAAAGTGACAGGTCTGTATGAAAAGAACCGGAAACCATCGTTTGACATTCAGCTGTCAAAAAAGTTTTTAGGTTATTTTGTTTTGTATTTAAAAATAATAAAAAATAAAAGGGTCGCAGAAAAGACATTGTGTTATACTTGTGAGAAAAGCTTTCTTCAAGCTCGTGTTAATGCACACTCGGCCTAACGGCCTCGTGGGCAACTTAAAAACTCGCATGAAAAAGTCGCTTTTCAACACTTGTAAAACAAATAACTATTTTCTACGACCACTATGTAAAAGTCACTTTTCATGATGGCATCGTTGCTTAGAAAATAAATCTTTTCATTGGCAAGGCAAAACACGAATGTAAAGTGACATTTCTGTATGAAAAGTGACAGGTCTGTATGAAAAGAACCGGAAACCATCGTTTGACATTCAGCTGTCAAAAAAGTTTTTAGGTTATTTTGTTTTGTATTTAAAAATAATAAAAAATAAAAGGGTCGCAGAAAAGACATTGTGTTATACTTGTGAGAAAAGCTTTCTTCAAGCTAGTGTTAATGCACACTCGGCCTAACGGCCTCGCGGGCAACTTAAAAACTCGCATGAAAAAGTCGCTTTTCAACACTTGTAAAACAAATAACTATTGTCCACTGGAATCGACCTTATTGTGACACTGCTGTCAATTTTTGTTCCAGTCATTATTTATCATTTTAGGTTGTTTTCGTCCTCTGATTATGCAGAAATGCTAGGGAGGCAGCACGAGTTTTTTCCCAGCGCTTTCCCGATCGCCAACTGGACTTTAAAGTTGTTCTGCGTTGTAAAGAAATTGAAGGTGCTCCTTAACGTATTAGGACAGCCCTTGTGGAAATTTTTCTCTGAGAAAGTCTTACTTTCTCTGAAAAAGTCTGAATAATACTTATTAAGTCGGAAAAAGTCAGAATAAGACTTATTAAGTCGGAAAAAGTCTGAATAAGTCTTATTAAGTCAGACTAATAGCAAGATTTGGGAGTCTTCTGGAAGAGTTAATAAGACTTTTTAAGACTTAATAAGACTTTTAGTAGAGAAATGGTAGGTACCTATGGCGATAAAAATAAATATCCTAAATAATTCATAGAGGTTGTATTTGGTTATCGTAAAATAAAACACATAGACAAGTATTTATTAACATTTTTGCTGTTGTTATAAGCCAAGTTTATTGCATAATTACCTATATACTGACATAGGTAAGATGTAATAATTATAACAATTATAATTTTATACATACGATGCGCTTAACATGCTTTCATTGTTTCCAACATAGAAAAAGGAGTTAATATCAAGTATGATATTTTCGATAGACTCATAAGACAAATATGCACAGAACATAACAAATATGGTTGATCTTCGTGTTTCATTCATCTTTGTATCATGGTTGATCTTCGTGTTTTCGTACAGTGTTGCCATAAAAGTTCCTGACCATAAATTACAAAATACTAAAATATTAATAAAAATGTAACAAAATAGAATAAAATAAGTGTGCATACTTATTTAGTAAATATACAATATTATTTACTGAAAATTTCTTTTGTTATTATTTTGATAGAAATTTGCAAATCACCCGCAAATATTATGAAAATACCCGATTTTCGAGTAAAATACTTGCAAACGGCAACACTGTGTCCCACTGACAGGTCAGCTGTGCTCTAATTGGTCAGCTAGCTAAGCTGGTCTCTCGATATTACGTCTTACGTCTATTGTTTGTAACAATGTTTAAATAGGTAAATATTTGCGTGTATCAAAAGAAACTATTAAAATAAAACGTACAGTGGCAACTCCTTTTTCTATGGTGGAAGCATGCATGTCAAGCGCATCGTATGTATAAAATTATAATTGTTATACCTAATTATTACATCTTACCTATGTTATTATATAGGTAATTATGCAATAAACTTGGCTTATAACAACAGCAAAAATGTTAATAAATACTTTTCTATGTGTTTTTTTTTTACGATAACCAAATACAACCTCTATGAATTATTTCTGATATTTATTTTTATCTCCGTAGGTACCTACCATTTCTCTACTAAAAGTCTTATTAAGTCTTAAAAAGTCTTATTAACTCTTCCAGAAGACTCCCAAATCTTGCTATTAGTCTGACTTAATAAGACTTATTCAGACTTTTTCCGACTTAATAAGTCTTATTCTGACTTTTTCCGACTTAATAAGTATTATTCAGACTTTTTCAGAGAAAGTAAGACTTTCTCAGAGAAAAATTTCCACAAGGGAGCGGAAAATAAATAAGCTATTTTCAATGATTTTCATGCAAATAGTAGTAAGAGCATAAGGAAGTTGCATATTTTGGCCTCTGGGGTACAGAACTACAATGTATTTTTTGAATGTTTGTGATGGCGTCATCAATTGCTGAACCAAACATAGACATTAAAATGTGTAGCTGTCTTTTTTTTTTTTGTAAAAGTTTATTTGTAATTCTATCGTGATCCGCTAAACCAGCAGATGGCGACACAATTAATCGTAATTTACGACAAACGTCAATCCGATGTCGCGCTCACGCAGCTTGTGCTGAAAACGGACAGAGCGCGTATAGTTTATTGTGGCATTGAGCCGAAATTTATCAAAATTTTAAGGTTAGTCAGTGGCGTTCATACAGTAATTTGTCATTAAATAACAGATTTTGTTATGTTGTTATGTTTTGGCCAACATTTGGACGATAATCAAAAACGTTTTATTAATTTAGTTAAATATTTTCAAAGGAAACTAGAGCATGGGGTTTCCAGGCTCCCACTAAACTGCGTCCAAGAGGTAAGCTATGTTAGGCTTGTTCCTACTGAGCATGTTTACTCTCAGGTCAAAGACAATAGTAAAATTGCATGCGCAATATGAAAATATAACCGCTATTTCACTACAGCGCATGTCTCTGACCTCCATCCAAGAATCAAAATGCTTGTTGGGAATAGTTTGGCAATGGACAAAAATTGTTAATCGTTTAAAAAACTTGCATAATTAAATTAATAAAGTTAAAATAAATGCGAACTAATCACTAGAATTATTGTTTAATTGGGTGTACGAGTATTTTGAGTTGCGTAACACAATAAATGCTTAGACCGCTTTAAAATGATACGCTACTGACTTTAAATTTAGTTTCGGTTTAATTCATACGATCCAATTGATGACGCCTTCACAAACATTCAAAAAATACACTGTAGTTGTTTAATTTTTACTTTAAAACATTGGCGTCCTGAAGTATGACATTTCTTTTTGAAAGATTAGTAAATACAGTCGGACAAAAGAATTTTAAAAGTTTTAAGACAACAATTTTCTATCGTCTGCTAGCAATTTTTAAAGCTCCTACGTTTAACCTAGGCGAGAGCTCTCGGTATTGGCTGCCGATTTATGCTCTCATTTGATTACACTATTACCTAGAAATTTTATATTTTTAAATTTAGCATCTCCATTGCTATCAGCACACCCCTTATTTATCTGTGGCGCGAGTTCTGGGACACCCTGTAGTTTTAAAATGTCAAAAAAAATTTTGATCGGTGCCGGTGCCGGTAATACAGATTCCCAATTTTTAGGTAATAAAAAGTATAATATGCAACTCGTTTATTAAGTTTTCTAGACACTTGTTTAATTAAACACTCGTTTTTAGTATGTATTTTAAGTATTGTGAAATCCATATCAAATGTTAAACTTAAAAGAATTTCAAAACCATTTTTAAGAATGACAAATATACTAAAAGAATTTAAAAATATAGAATCCATATTTTTAAATGCTTATAACATTTAATTTAAAAAGATTAAGAATTACATAATAAATAAACAAACAAACTTGCTCTACTCGGTTTTTAGCGAAGGGTAAAAAACTGATTTTTTATAATAGACCTATCCCATAAAACAGACTTTTGGATAGCGCGTGCCTGAAGAGTGGTATCTCTTTCTCTTTTATATAATTAAAAAAAGACGACGTGCCTTTTCACGCACGCGCTATCCAAAAGTCCGTTTTATGGGATAGGTCTATTAAAAATCGCATACAAATTAACTGAGGGGTAAACCACTTTAAAATCTTAGACACCAACATTCAATGTTAGTGGACGTTGTGTTGAGATTTTTTTCCTTATCAGTCCTTATCAAAAAGGAAAACTTGCTTAATGGGTGCTTAATCAGTGCTTAGCGACGCGTTGTACATGACTACCCAAGGGTTTGTTATCCTTAGCCGTTAATTCGTAAGCGATTTTTAATTTTAAAAAATCAGTGGTTTACCCCTCGAAATGAACGGCTAAGGAAAACAATCACAAGGGTAGTCATTCGCAACGCGTCTCTAAGAGAAATTTCTTATTGATAAGGATTTTTCCTTTCGTTATTTAAAATTTAGGTAAAGAATGTTATTTTTTATAAAACAATTCTATGAAAACTTAGGTAAGTTAAGAAATCTAAAAAAAACAAAGTATTTTAAGACGCAAAAACTAAAATTAGGGATCTTAACTCTTAAGACTAAAATAGATGGTTGTGCTCTATCTATGCACATTATACTGAGTGTATTAATTTTATAATTTTATACAAAAAATATAAGTACCTAGGTACTTTAAAAATAAATAAAAAACTTAAACACCTAAAAATTTAAATAGTGAATAGATAGAGCACAACTATTTTAAAAGGTGTTGCATTGCTAGTAATGATAGCAACCACACTTTTATTGCTTATCACAGCTCCAATATAAAACTTAAACACCTAAAAATTTAAAATTTAAATAGTGAATAGATAGAGCACAACTGTTTTAAAAGATGTTGCATTGCTAGCAATGATAGCAACCACGCTTTTATTGCTTATCACAGCTCCAATATACTCAGAGCCTAATATAAGGTAGAAAACTAAATATGTTAATGTTAAATTTAAGGTGTAAAAAATTAATTTTACTAATAAAAACAAAAAAACTACTCACATTTAAAGCCTGGTTTAAACTAGCTCGAAACTTAGCTTGTATACAAACAACAAGTTCAGAACTTGGAATATAAGCAAAACCATCCTTAAGAAACACTCTCCTTTTAGCAACAAGTGGACAAACTTCAGTGAAAGGTACTTTATAGAAGTCGCTCGAATCAATTGCAACATCAGACATACCAACTGTTGACATCATAATATCACTACGAATGTTATCTTTTTCGTCTTGCGATATGGGTGTGTACGTAAAATTGTTGTTATGTAAAAATTTCATGACACCCTGTTGAGTTTGTGAGATAAAACGGATTTTAAACCAGTCTATTTCACGATTTAAAAACCACCTACGTAAGTCCTCTGATCTACAATAAGCTAACCTTAAAATGTGGTGGGATAGAAAATCAGCCCTTCTGGCTTGGTAATCTTGGTCTGATTGGCTGCAATAACCCCCCATCATTCTTAAATAACGCTTTAATTGGCCTTTGGAAAGGTCTTCTTTTATACACTTTTTCCAGTCATCAGTAAAAGGTTTGTGGCCTTTAAGTGAAGCTTGTTCTATAATACGAAGCAATTGGAGCCTTTCTAAGGCTAAATCCTCGAATTCCCATAACGCTATATCGCCTTAACACAAAAATAATCAAAACATAACCACACAAAATTCAAAAACACTTACCATTGGGATAATCGTTGTACATAACGACATCGTGATTGTATATATCGTTACTAGTATCAACCACAACTTTTCTGCGACGCCTTGCAGTTGTATCCATGTTTAAAACGCACAAAACAAAACAAAATCGCAAGAAAAAACAAGTACAACTCGCGCCTTTTTTGAATAACAGTTGCGCCTGGATGTTAGCAACAAGTGTGGAGATTGGGTTGCGTGGTTTGTTTGTTTGAAATTTCATTAAAATACTTAATTTTTACCATGAAGTGTAAAATAATAATTGTTTTATTACTTAATATTTAGGAAATTATAATAATTTTGAGGGGCTATTTAAGAAATTTTATAATTTTGTGGAGCTTAGTAGTTCAATTTTTTTGTGGCAAAATAGTTTAAATGTAATATTTATGTCAAAGTTAATGATATACAAGGTGCAAGCAAAGTGTTCAGAGTACATAATATGTTATATGTAAATATTAGGTAATAAAACAATTATTATTTTACACTTCATGGTAAAAATTAAGTATTTTAATGAAATTTCAAACATTCTAACAAACAAACCACGCAACCCAGTCTCCACACTTGTAACTTTTGCTAACATTCAGGCGAAACTGTTATTCAAAAAAGGCGCGAGTTGTACTTGTTTTTTTGCTATTTTGTTTTGTTTTGTGCGTTTTAAACAAGGGTGTGATTTTTAGTACAATTGTACTTTTCTAATACAAAAAAATAGCTTAGAGTACGTTAGCACCTCTTCGGCAATTCTGGTACAATTTTCAAAATTGCCTTCAATTAGAAAAAAATAATAAATCGATCGTTCTCGATCGAATCTCGAAATTGGGACAAAATTTTTAGCAACTTTTTTACTGGTAACTGAGCCTACGTTACGGAGGGAATCATAGAGAAAGTTTCTTTATAGAGGGAATAAGAAGATTATATTATTATATAATCTTCTTAGGAGCAAATATGGCGCAATTGCGCCTTAAGGCGTCAAATGTCAACGTCAAAACTCAAACGTCAAGTCATCATTAACCTAACCTATAAATCCTGTTGCTGACACCGACAGGCTGTCTGCGTCGGCACTGTGAATCTGTGATGTGATAGTGGATGTAATGGACAGGTTAGTATTTTTAGCTGTTTATTACTTATTTTCTGAACTTCCTAAATAATTACACAACTCAGTTTGTAGATTTTTCATAAGAAAAACCAAAGCTCCGGTTTATTTATTATAATTTTACGTATGCAAGGGTGATTCTGGGAGCAGAAATCTGCTATTAATTAAATTTGGACAAGTTTTGAATTTTCGCGATAAGTTAGTACAATTTCACGCTAGATGGCTCACAATTTGCAAAGTTTCAGGAACACCTAGGGGCCCTAGTACATATGGATAGCGTTAAGAAGATTATATAATCTTAGCGTTTAACGAAAAGAAACCAAGCGTCAAAAACTTAACAATTTTTCTGGCTTAACAAAATTATTTGCAAAATAACTTATTTTTAATGGTGTTCAAAAAATTAATAATGATTTGGGAACCCTTTCAATCCTTTTGAGAAAAGTTCCAAATGATGATCAACCTTTTGAGCATTATTTTTATGGAGCCTACTCAAGGATCCCGAACTTAATAGGGAAATTGACGAAACCTGCCCTCTAAATTGCACAAATAAAGTTTTTTTTTTCACCAGCGCACTGTGGGCCCTATGCCCAAACTAGGTTGCAATAAGTCATTATTGAAAATGTATAATTTGCCACTATTGTTTTATTAAAAACATATCCAAACTTGTAAAAACATAATTGCTTTTTGAAAATACTCTACGAACACTTTTTTATAAATGCCCAATGTCAGATCCTTCTTCCACCCTGGTCAGATCTTTAAAAGAAAGTCTATTTTTAATGCAATCGTTTTAATTAAAACTACGATTTTTGCGATTTTTTTTTATAGCTTAGAGGGCCGTGAAAAGCAAAAGTCGTCTTAAACATTTCATATCAGCAGAGCTTGTTTTCCTTGTTTTAAATGAGAACTCAAGTATTTATTTAACTTTAGAAAAACTACTTGACAGACATATTATTATTATTATTACTGTCAAACATACATTATTGAAAACAACACTTAGTAACGATTGTTAACTATACAAGGTGTCCCGTATCGTTATGTTCAAATTTTGAGAGCATAAAGTAGACTTATTTTCAGGAAGAAAACCGGCAAAACTTGTATATCAATTTTTATTTGTTTCAAAGTTACAGGCGTTTGAATTACACAGGTCCACAAAAAAAAATTGGTCTGTGCTGGGTGTTCGACAAAGATTTTCCGACGTATTTTTTACCGCTGAGCACGAATCTGAAGTCAAAATTGGGGGTCAAACTGCAAAAAACGAAGAAAAATAAAAAAAAAACCGATAAAATCCATTATCTAATATCGGTTATTTTAATTTTTCTCCGTTTTTTGCAGTTTGACCCCCAATTTTGACTTCAGATTCGTGTTCAGCGGTAAAAAATACGTCGGAAAATCTTTGTCGAACACCCAGCACAGACCACTTTTTGTTTTGTGGATTATACTTCAAAGGCCTGTAACTTTGAAACAAATAAATATTGATATACAAGTTTTGCGGGTTTTCTTCCTGAAAATAAGTCTACTTTATGCTCTCAAAATTTGAACATAACGATACGGGACACCTTGTATAACATAAGATAAATGTCTACTAAATTGTTATTTTCAACACCCTTCCTCAATTTAGTATACGCACAAATAAAAACAATATGTATTTTTTTTTATAAAACTCCAATTAGTTTCTTGATTCTTTCAAATTTTTCCCTTCCAAGTCCTTTTGTAAAGAGATCCGCTTCTTGATTGGCTGTTTCAATCCAAATAACGTCTATCAAGTTCTTGGCGTAAAGATCTTTAATAAAATTATACTTGATATCAACGTGCTTTAAACGTCGATGCTCCCATTTTTTTAAAGTACTTATACAAGATTGATTGTCTTCGTAGACAGAAATAGGCTCACAAATTTTTTCATTCAAATCCCTCATAACTTTTTGGATCCAGATTACTTCTGCGGTTGCGGTCGCCAAAGCTATATATTCAGCTTCGGTAGACGAAAGTGAAACACAGTTTTGCCTTTTTGTGCCCCAACTTACAGCATTTCCGTAAACTTTAATAAGATACCCAGAAGTCGATTTTCGGTCCTTGTCGCTTCCCCAGTCTGCATCCGCAAAACAAACCAATTTTTCTTGGCTTTTATGTCCCTTTTCGTAAACAAGACCGTGATTAAGAGTTCCCTTGATATATCTCAAAATTCTTTTGAGTCCTTTCCATAAAGCTTCGTTTTGGCAATTTTGGTGTCGACTAAAAAAATTGATTGCTGCACAAATATCTGGTCTGGTTCCACGCATTGCGTACATCAAGCAACCAATGAGTTCGCGGTATGGTTTGTCAAAGCTCGGGTCACCTTCTTCTGGAAAAATATCGAGTTTGAGTTCCAAGGGCGTTGCAACAGACTTGCACTCGAAGATGTTAAATTTTTCCAATACGCTTTTTAAATACATTGATTGGTTCAAAAATAATTTTCCATTTTCCCTGCGAATTTGAATTCCCAAAAAATTTTCTGGTTCTCCAAAATCCTTCATCGGAAATTTCGATTTTAATTTGTTTTTCAGGTCCTCAACGACGTTTTTCTTTTCTCCAGCAATGAGTATATCGTCAACATAAAGCAAAAGATAAATCTCATTATCATTAGTGTCTCCAGTGTACAAGCATTTATCGACTTCTGACTGGGTTAATCCTAGGCCTTTTACAAATATATCAAAAACTTGATTCCACGCTCTCGGGGCTTGTTTTAAACCATATAATGTTTTAATTAGTCTGCAAACTTTACCTTCTCCCTCGTCAATTCCTTCAGGCAATTTCATATAAATTTCTTCGTCCAAGTTGCCCTGCAAAAAGGCATTTTTTACATCTAATTGATGCAAAACAAGATTTTTTTCGTTCACAATACTAAGCAACACTCTAAGAGTTTCCAATCTAGCAACAGGCGCGTATGTCTCCTCAAAATCAAAGCCTTTGACTTGCGAAAAACCTTTTACAACAAGTCTTGCTTTGTAGTTTTCTATTCCTCCATCCTTGTTTTTCTTTATTTTGAAGACCCATTTGTTGTTTAGTGGTTTCTTGCCTTTGGGCAATTCAACAAGTTTCCACGTGTTATTCCTTTTCAATGCATCAAGTTCCTCTTTAATGGCCTTTCTCCATTCTTCTTTGTCATCTCGATTTTCAATTTCCCCCATAGATTCAGGTACACCATCCACTCTCCACATTCAAGGCCAACACCGCATAATCGTCCTTCAAGTAAAAATCTTGCAGATTCGTAGGTAATTTTTTGTTTCGAACATTCCTTTTAGTTTCGGTAACCGAGTTATTGCTTGGTTTTTTATCATTTCCATTTTTTTCATGACTGAGTTCTTCTTCTCCAGAATACGGAGCAAAATCATCACACATAATATTTGTTTTTGTTTCCTCCAGTCGGTTTGCAGTCCAGTCTTCGCTGTACATTCCTTCTAATGTAAATTTGTTCTCCAGGAAAACAACGTCCCTTCCAAATACAATTTTTCCAAGCTCAGGGCACCAAAGGCGATATCCATTTGAACAATATCCAGTTAAGTAACATTTCAATGACCTTGAGTCAAGTTTACCTTCGGTCAACTCTTTAGGTTTGTGCAAGTAAGCAACACAACCAAAAACTCGCAGTTTTTTTAGGTTTGGAGTTCTACCATACCACAAAGCTGCAGGAACATTTTCGTTGAGTGCGACTGTCGAACTGCGATTAATCAGATAAACTGAAGTTCCAACTGCCTCGCTCCAAAATTCCTTTCCCAGACTGCATTCTAGTAGAAGACATCGAGCTTTTTCCATGATTGTGCGATTCACGCGTTCTGCAACACCATTTTGTTCCGGAGTATACCTAATAGTTAATTCGTACGTAATTCTATTTTCCTCAAAAAATGTTTTTAGTTGATTTGAACAGAATTCTCCTCCATTATCGCACCTGAAACGACTAATTTTTTCGCTAAACTTGCTTTTTACCATTTCAGCATACAATTTTATGTATCGAAAGACGTCTGATTTGCTTTTCATTGTATAACAAGCTGTAAAATGAGTATAATCATCAATTATGGTCAGCACATAATTC